TCTACGAAATGAATAAGCTCCCCAGAACGCCATACATCCTGGTCCCGGGACCCCGACTCAGTCACTTGCCAGCAGAGAACAGTCCATGATCTCGCCATGTAAGCCGCCCAGGACGCCGCAGCAATCTTCTCCATCCTAACCCATCCCCCCAACAGGTTCTTCGCCCAATCCTGGAACAGCGCCCAACAACCACCCTCCCCAACCCCAACGACCACCCCACCTCTCCTCGCCGAGTTCACCCAAGCCCTCACCACGCTCTCCACCACCCTCCCCTCGCGATTCACCCCCCAGCTCACCACCCTCCTCCACCACCTCCCCACCGTCTTCACCTCCCTCCCCCTCGCCCTCACGCACGGCGACCTCTGCGAGATGAATCTCCTGATCGACCCCGCCACGGGCCGGCTGACAGGCGTCGTGGACTGGGCCGAGGCGCGGGTCCTTCCGTTCGGGCTCGCGCTGTACGGGCTGGAGAACGTGCTGGGGTATATGGATGGGGAGGGGTGGCATTATTTTGAGCGGGAAGCGGCGCTGCGGGAGGGGTTTTGGCGGGTGTTTCGGGAGGAGACGGGGGTGGGGGAGGAGGTGATGCAGGGAATTGAGGTGGTGAGGATGGTGGGGCTGTTTTATCGGTATGGGTTTGTGTTTGATGGGAGGGAGGTGGTTCGGGTTGTTCGGGAGGGAGGGTTAGGGTATTTGGATGCGTTCTGTGGTGGGGAAGCTGGGGTTGTGGCGGGTGCACCGTTTTCTTAAAACGGACACTACGTAGTAACAGAGGTCCCATCTTTTGACCCCTCCTCTCCCAAAACATAAAGCTTTCATCAAGAGCTAGATCAGTGATGAGATCGGTGACTAGCGAACTTTAGGCGTGGACGGCGACCCCCTTGTGTTGTCTCTTCTTTTTCTTCTCTTTTTTCCTTTTGGAGACTTAAAGTCGCTCAATCCGGGCTTTTGCGCTCTGTGAGCTCGTCTGGTCTTTCTGGCCTTTGCAACGGTTTTGGAACGTTAACGGAATCTCGGAGGATTTCGTCCGGCACATGAAACAGGGCGTTGTTGGGCTGCGTCTGCTAAGTCAGCAATTACAGTCGGACAACACCAGAGATCTTGCTTCCTGGCCACAAGCCTGGTACACACAAGTTGTCACGGGGAGTCATAGTTGATGCTTGAGGTTGGTCATCCTTTGTCATACATTGGACTGTTGGCTAAACCCACAGCCAGGAAATGCACAAATAAAGCGCTTTGGCTGATGGTTTGCTCGGTACCCAGGTAGCTATTGGTTGACGTTAGCTGCATTATCTTCCAGCTTCGTCGCACTTCATCACTGCGTCCTGGTAGATCTATCTCCAGACACTCTCCCCCTTATTTACTTCGTTTTGCCAAGCGTTATTCCAAGGATCATATCATCCCAACCCTCTATCTGAATCGTCGGCTTCGTTTTCCTACCAGATTCAGTGAGCCAAGATGCTCATCCAAATCAGTCTTCGCTCGCCAAACGGGCAATCACGGATCCAAATCGATGACGATGCTACCTTGAGGGAGCTGGTTGAACTCATCAAAGCCAAGACGGAGATTAGCAACTTCACCCTTAAATATGGCTACCCGTTAAGGGCTCTTGACATCAGCCCGACATTGCGGGACACGAGCATACAAGACCTGAAGCTCAGGGGTGAGACGATCGTTGTCGCCCCTACCGACACGGCACCGCCAGTGCCTGTATCCACCAAACCCGAGCCGAAACCGTTTACGCCGAAAGGGATAGAGCCAGACGAGACGTCGCTCGAGTGGCCGGAGAGAGGCGGGCACATCGGTAAGGCTTGCTTACGATGGGCGGGGGAGTCGCAGCTAACATAACCCGTAGTGCTCCGTGTCATGCCAGACGACAATAGCTGCATGTGTAGGTTATTTTCTTATCTGCAACTCCCGGCAGGCATTAATACTCTCCGCAGTCACAGCATTCGGCGGCGCACTCGGCCTAGAGAACCCCTCCAAGACCCTCCGAGACCAGGTGGCCGATTACATCATCAGCCACCCCAACGAGTACCATGAGGCCATCCTCGGCGAGAAGCCCGAACGTTACATTTCAAGAATGCGGCAAATGGACACCTGGGGTGGTGCTATCGAACTTTCCATCCTCTCCGACATCTACAACGTGGAAATCAGCTCCGTTGACGTCAAGGTATGCCCCCTCCCTCCTAGGCAAACCCGGACTCCACATACTAATACCTCCGTCAGTCCCTCCGCGTGGACCGCTTTGGCGAAGGCAAAGCCAACCGAGTCATCATCATGTACTCAGGCATCCACTACGACAGAATAGCATTTTGTATGGATCTGAGCTATCCAGTCGAGGTGGACGTGACACGGTGGTCGACCGACGACGAGGAGGTCCTCGACAAGGCGCGCCAGCTGGCGCAGCGGCTGCAGAACATGCACTATTACACCGACACAACCGATTTCGTCATCAAGTGCGGGGCGTGCAGCTGGATCGGCCAGGGGACAAAGGACGCTGTCAAGCATGAGAGAGAGACGGGGCATAGTCAGTTCGGTGAGATGCAAATCACCGACTGATGGGGGGGATGGAGAGTGTACCATGACTAAGTAATGACGGGTTCACAATGCATAGCGCTCAGGACAATTTGATTGCGATATTCCCAAACCTTGAACTCAAAAATCCATAGGATGTGACCATGGCATGAAATTCCTGAACCCATGTTAACCTACCCAAACCGACTCGTCTTGTTACATTAGCAGCCGCCGTATCACCACTACAGCAAGCAATTTACACCACCAACACCCAACAACAACAACAACAACAACAACAACAACACTACTCGAAACTGGAAGTCCAAGAAACCCAACAACCCTCCCTCCCTCATCGATACGTCAACCCCCCGCCAAAACTAACCTGCCCACCACCCGCACCACCTCCACCCACCCTCACCTCCCCAGACGTCCTCCCCGTCTCAAACGCGCAGCGACCCATATTCAGCGCGGGGCGGCGGCCGCGCCCAGCTCCGACAGCAGCGGCGGCTGACGGCGAGATGTCAAAGTCGAAGATGTCCATGGGCAGGCCGAGGGTGGTGCAGGCGTTGGGGATGTCGACGATGCCGGCCACGTGGCCCTGCACGGGCGCGCACGACAGCAGCAGATAGATCTGGTAGTCCGAGTAGCCGAAGCGGCGCAGGTATTCGATGCAGCGGAGCGTGGTTTGTCGGTAGGCGACCGTTACGTCCATGTAATCTGGGGGAGGGGGGCGGGTGTTAGTTGTGGGGGTCGGCTGGTTTGGGTTGTTTGGGGTGGGGAGTGGGGGAGGGCGTGTTTGGCGGAGGGTATATTTGGGGGAGGGTGAGGAACAAAAAGAACATACGCTGTCGTCCGCTTTCGTCTACGCTGAAGCCTTCGAAGTAGATGTACCGCACGGGACCGAACTGCGGCTCGACGGGGCCGGGGATGTAGATGGGACTCTTGAGGCCGAGATTGGTCACGCCCTTTTTGATGACGCTGAAGTTGATGGTGATGACGCCGGCCATCTCGATGGCGCCGCAGAAGGAGATCTCGCCATCACCTTGTGAGAAGTGCAAGTCGCCGACGGAGAACTTGGCACCGGGGACGTGAACGGGAAGGTACACTTTTGAGCCCTGCATGTAACAAGTATGAATTAGGGGAGGTTGAGTGGTAAAATTCGGTGGTGGGGAGTGAAGCGTACCCGGGAGAGGTTTTTGATGTCGCAGTTTCCTGGAAAGGGGGTGCCCATCAGCATCAGCGTTCGAGGTGATGGGAGGACGGTACTCACCTCCATGCTCTGGACGCCCGGGTATGGTTCTCGCGCCTTCACGGCCGACCTTCTGCTTCAGGCCATTATCTGCGCTACCTGCGTGAACACTGAGAGGTTGTGGTCTGTGAAGTCCCAACAAAGATACCATCAGTCAGCGGTTCTAACCCCAAGCAAGCGGCATCAGGGGAACCCACGGCAAGGCCACCTCACGGTCTAGCCTGTTGGCCGCAATAAGCGCAGCCTCGCGTGTGTTCCACCTTTCGAGCACCTCGGCGGATGGGGCACACCCGAGAATGCCCGGGTGGATGAGCCCGGCAAACTTGACGTGGGGGATGTGTCGGCTCGTGCAATAGATGCCCTCAAAGTCCCAAATTGCCTTGGCGCTGCGGAGGGGTCAGCACACAAAGAAGGTCAATCCTGGAATAAGAAACATACGCTGAAGGATATATCTCGTCCAGAAACCCACCCTGGATTCGCAGTTAGCACACACCCCGATACCATCCAGGAAGTACGATCCTCGGCAGGGGAGAACATACCCCATTGCGTCGATCGAATATCCCCGTAAATCCCCAGGGCTGGTCTTGAAATGGCTGAACGTCCATAATCTCGACAAGGAGCAGATCTCCCGGCTCCGCATTCTCGATCTCAAATGGCCCGGAAAGATAGTGGACTCTGGTGAGGTCGACGTTTTTGACATCGTCTGCCGAGTCATTGTTCTTGATCTGCCCACCAGTCCTATCTATCGTCAACGAAGCCAATCAAAATGTCCATGAGTGGGTAGGCATACCAATCGAGACATTCGATCTTGACTGTCTCGCCGTCCCTGATACTGCCAGCAAAGGGAACTATTGGGAGTTAGTTGTCACGAGTAGCAGTTACCAATGTGAATGATACGCACTATCTGGATGCCATCTGTTCTAATAAAACAACAATTAGCCCGGTGCCATCGAGTCTCATAAGAGAGCAGTCTACTCACATGAAGATACGGCTGCTCGGAAGCAGGTCTGTCAAAATCGACCTTGCAAACAGTCCGGATCCCAGTCTTGCCCATTGTGTCTCGTGTGTCTCGTGTGTATGTGTGAGTGTGTGGTTGTATGAGTGTGAACCGAAGAAGACTCAATAGCCGCTACAATACATTACTTTATACCTACAACTTCGAGGTCTAGACTTCCAACACCAATCTTTACACCACCTGGGGACCACCCTCTCTTATAGGCACTCGTCATCAACGGTGTTCCACCTTGCCATCCGATCTGATCGATACTCCCACACCACACAACCTGGACGATCCCTTCCCTGCAACCAAAACCGAGACCAACCGGCGTACCCCGCATCCCCGGCCCGCCGCCGGGGAGGAAACACAGCATGCATGTTTGCAGCCCAATCGGTCGAATCAAGACGTAATCGACAAGTCAAGAAGTGCGCCCGCCATCTAATCAGTCGGAGATGCTGCTGTGCGCTCTCAGGGGGGCTGCCGGCTTACACGCCACCACGAGCGCACGCTTATCACAGGGCCCAATGATAAGACGGAACAGGGGGGCCTGGTTGGGTTGGCGTGCGCCCCCCACAAAGAGCATCTCCGCTGGAACGGGCCCCGGAGCGGGAACTGATAAGAGCGCCCAGAACACCCAGCCATGGGCCGGCCGGAGATGCGTGTTCGTTGGTGGTCATAATTGAGTTTCTGCGTCTTGCGATCTCCGGGGGGAATAATCGGAGATGAAGGTTAGGTAACACAAAAGGGCGGCGCCCGCGGAACGGGCCTTGTAAGCATCGGGATTAACCGGTTTCCCAACGTCTTTACTATCCGGATGCAGAAATTTCTCGAAGGCTACTTCTGAACGCCTTTCTCAATCATACCTTGCTCTCTACATGCCGGTACGCCCGCCCGGAAACCATAACTTGAGCTCCAGTCTTCTACTGCGGAGCAGCCATAGGGTGCGGATCAACCTCTGCATACGGCGGCGGCTTGTCGTGTAGCATGTCGAGGAGAGAGAGACTGAGAAACTTGTGCTTGTTCCTCCACTCGGTCTGGCTCTGGGCGAACCCTTCGCTAAAATCTGGCGACGGCGGCGGGTCGGTCACTTTGGTGATGAGATACGCGGTACTCTGTTGATAGGTAGTCAGCATAGATGCCCCATTCACCCACAAAAAGAAAACGAAAGGAGAAGAACTCACCGCTTCGGCAATGCCATAAATAAGTACCCCCAACAGAGGCACCCGCAGCAGCACAAAAAACGCGATCCCAAACCCAAACAGCACCCCCTCCCGGCTCCGGAACCACTTCCTCTTCTCCTTGGGCGTAAATTTGATCCTCGCAAAATACGGCTCCAGCAGCTCCCGCATCAGGCTCCTCGACCCAAAATAACTCTGCAAGAAAATCACCAAATACCGCCTCGGCAAAAACAGACCACCCCCAAAAATCACGCTGGCCGGCCCCAGCCCCACGGCCTTATTAAAGGTCCAAAAACTCGCCGCGGGCAGCACGAGGCGGCCGACGTAGGGGATGTAGGAGGCGGCGAAGACGGCCAGCGACAGGGCGCTGCGGCGTGCGAAGCGGTACAGGAACAGCGTGGCCGACTCGGCCGCGCTTGTCGAGTTGGTGCGCCCGTCCGTCACCCGGTACTTGCGTAAATTCAAGGAGTACGTGGCCCGCAGCGACGACTGGGCTCCGTCGCCCTGGTGTTTCCGCACGTACGCCACGTCGATCTCGCTGAGGGCAGTCATGAACCTGAGTGGTAGGGGGAGGTTGGGTTGGTTAGTTGGCGGCGATGGAAGGGGTGGGGATAGGGGTGGGCAAAAGGGAGGGTAGGGGGGGGATTTACAGCTCATCGAGTGTTGGTGTGATGTAGCGCATCAGGCTCATGAAGAATAGCGGGGCTTGGAGGACATGTTCTTCGATGAAGCTGAGGCCGTTGACAAGCGAGTCGTCCCAGGATACCCGGTCGAGGGGGAAGACGAGAGACAGGAACCATAATAGCACTTTGATGCCAAATATCTAGACTTGAGGATCAGTGGCAAGGATGGGACAACGAGTTCGGCGAGGAAGCACAAACGGGGAGGGCAATCAGAAGGCGGATGGCAATGCCCACAGCAACGGCGATGGCGGCTTGCTTGTAGTGCTTCGAGGTAAACATCCGGCGACTTTGGAGGGCTCGGTGAGCTGCCACTGTGTTAGCGCCAAAATATCCAAGATAGCTCGACCCTACACAGTAAGTCGATGGATGAATTGAGCTGGGTTCTCACCGCCGACCAGCGTCAGCTGCATGCCCCGGATGATGGCATTGATGCTGAAATTGGACACATCAAACTTCTTTTTTAACTTGTCCTTGTCAAGGGGTAGCCGGGTATCGGACGACATTTTGCCAGTGTCTCGACGGTTGTGTCAAGAATATGGCCTGTTGGGCGGTGCTCGGATGCTTGGGGGTTGAGAGCTTCAAAGCTTGGGTGGATTCAATCTCGGGTCTGACAACAGACCGATGATGTCAAGAAATGCCCCTGTCGCTGGCGCTAGCCCGAAGAATAGCAAGCGGACTTGGCATGGATCCACCTGAAGAGACTGTACCTGGCTAGCTTGACCTGCCTCCATCCTGTTCCAGAGAAGTGTCAAGTTTCAGCCGCCTGCCGATGGAATACACCATGCCAAAAGGGAATATGTATAACGACTTCTATAATGAGAAGTCGACGGACTCTGTATGCTGCCATTTTTGAGGTTCTGTTCATTGACTTTTTCGTTGACTTAGCAACGTCATGGCGGACGTCAAGAATTCATCCCATCCAACAAACGGCAAGGATGGACATGGTTGGAGATGCCTTGCAGAAACACCCAGGGAGCCACGCGGCAACCCAGGGCCTCAAACAAATCCTACTCGTTGCATCGCAGAGTGTATCCTATTAATGGCGGCCTGCATAACGATAGACTCGAAGCTGAAAAATAAAATGAATCCCCGACACCGTTTCCTACAATATGGATGTAGCTATCCGGGAAGCTGTCCATGACAAACGGCAGCCATGAAGATGAATGGTGGTCTTGACCCTGAACATGGTCTCGTGCCCAGGGAGAATGAGCGCCAATGGAACCTCGTGAAAGCGTTCGCAGATCACGGTGGGGCATTCCTACCGCTGGAAGTGGGATGCGCGCTTGTGCAGCAAGCCAGGGCGAGGGCCACTTCGCGAACAGCGCAGGGTCGAGGATTTCAACGTTGAACGCGAGCACCTGGTTTCTCTCATCCGACGTGGGACATCTCACCAACCTCGTCGCAAACCTCTCGTTTTTTGTTGAACACTAGCGGTTGTTCCTCTTGAATCCCCTTCCTTCCGGTAAACTCAGACCATACTGTCCCGACCTGGTGCATTTGACCCGCGAATCCGCTGATCGGCTCGCGCATCGTGCCACGCTGAGACGGACGGCCCAGACATCGGCCACACCTGCCGAACCGCATTGTTGCAGCCGCCTTTGTCCCTGATCTTGCCCCTCCGCGGATCACTTTATCGACCTTCCCCGCGATTGCGCCTCCGTCTCCATCAGCAATGCTTCACCACAACCCAGAATAAATCCTAAAAAATGGAGTCTGCCAGACCACGAAGCTCCGGATTTGTGGCCCCGCGCCGTGTCTTTACGGCCCCGGCGCCCCCTTCGGCCCCGCAGCCCGCCGTACCTCCGCAATCCTCCGGCGAGTTAGTCGACACGCTATATGATCACCCAAACGTCAAGATCATTGCTTTTACCGCAGGCCGTGCTGGACCAGATATTGAGCCAGGGTCGTTGCCCTGGTCTTCGCAACTGGAGCGGACGCTCGCAGTCGGTATGTTCTGGCGAATGACGCGCGCCGATCAAGCTCAGGCGCTAACTTTTTCCCACAATAGGCCCCTTTAGAATATACCGCGCCCCTGGCTCGGTGGCCTTCCTCAGCTGCGGTTCCGCGCTTCAACCGATACTCCCGAAGAGCCAGGTGTGGTGCGTCGACGAAGAATCGAGCAAGTTTATCCTGCAGATACGGCGGCCCCAGTACTGGCGGATAGAGGTCCCAATCGGAGATGACGAGGAGGTGCGCTGGGCACAGCAACTACGAGAGGTCTTCGATGCTATCTTGCAATTCGAAAAGACCGAATGTCCGTTTAACCGACCTTTTACCGTCGAGCTCCCAGAACGTCCGGAGACAAGAATTCTACCCTGGGATCCTACCCGGAGGTCCAGCGCATCGTTACCCATGACGTCCATCACGCCCGAGATCGCCCGCTTACACGAGGGAACGCCGAGAGGGTCGATATGCGTGGGAGATCTTAGGACGGTGTTCGAAACGAGGAGGGCATTGAATGAACACGCAAAGTCGTTGCTTCTGCCCAAATGGGAATCCATGACAGCAGAAAGCCGCCACGCTTGGGATGGACAAGGCAATGACGGTTCTTCATCTAGCTTGTTTCCGCCGCGCGTTGAGAGACCTCGAAGCGTTTCAGCGGTACCTCCACAACGCCCCCTTTTTATGGGCGGCGCTCTTCCAAAAATCAGGGAGGCAGCTCCTCCGACCGATCGGGCCGCTGAGGCGCCCCGGTTCACCTCGCCTACAGAGTCCCTAGAGTCAATCCGCGGCCGAGAGTCATGGCTTCCCACTCCCCTCCCGCCATCCCCTCCCCTATCAACACCCGGATCGCCGCGGAGCTCATCCCAGCAATTCCAGACACCACATGTGCCAAGAGGAGCCAACACCACACAAGACACACTGGGCCAACCTGTAACTTTCCAAAACCTCCCAGATCTGGGGTGCCGCCACAACCGACTCCCTCCCTACGTCTGAACCTAGTGCCACAACAACAGCGACCCCCATTCACGAGCCAGACTGCCCTACGACCAGTGCTCAACAGCAGCCCGCTGGCACCACCCAGCCAGCAGTAGCCACTCCAACCACCTCGGGTCCCGAAACCCCTTTCAAAACCGCTTCCTCCACCCCGGTACCAACCACCCCCTCCCCCTCATCCCCCTCCTCACGCGGCCGCCGCCCCCCCATCCGCCGCGCAACAACAACCTCCTCCTTCTCCTCCCCTTTCTCCTCCCCCTCCTCCCCGCACCGCGCCCTCTCCCCGCTCCCACCCGCCGCCAACCTGCTCACGACCCGACGGCAACCCCCGCCACGCGCCGCCGCCGCCGCCGCCATGCCCGTCCCCGTGTCCGTGCCCGCGGCGTCCACGCCCGTGATGCAGAACGCGCTGGCCGCCGTCCGCCGCCTGCCCATGACCGTCCTGCACAAGACGTGCGCCATCCTCTTCTCGCCGCCGTCCTACCTCATCAGCCTGATGCTGAAGGTCGCGGCGCGGATTATGGCGGGGGAATGGAGAGGGTTGGTGTTTGGGCTGGGGGAGGGCGGCGAGCGGGTTAGTGTCGCGTGGGATTGGAGTGATGATGATGAGGATCATGGGCGTGGTGGTGGTGGTGGTGGTGGTGGTGGTGGTGATAGTGGGCTGGGTGCGCGGGGTCGGGGGTGGAATGGTAGCGGCGGGGATGGAGATGGGGATGATTTCTGGTTGAGGGGGCGGACGGGGCCGGGGAAGGCTAAGATGGTAGGTGCGTTTCCGGATAGTGATGATGAGGATTCTCATGAGGATGAGGCGGTTGGGCCGCTGGATAGGTTGGTCGTGGTGTCGCCCGGGAGGAAAAATAGGGGCGTTGTTTCAGGCAAGGCTGGCGTGGTGGTGGAGCAAAAGGCTGTTGGGAGATTGCGCGGGAAGCACGGGAAGGAGTCGGACTCGGAATCGGGCGTGGATTAGACGTCTGCGCCCCATCGCGTTGGACGACCTCCCGACTTGTTGTTGCCCCCGGCCTTGCTGGCAGACCCGCCGACAAGCCTGGTCTTCGTTCTCGGGGCGGCGCTGGGGTTGGCCTTTGGCATGCTATAAGTGATGTCTGCTCTGCTGCGGCATGGAGGGGAGGGCGGATCGGGTGGAGGAGCGAAGAACGATGGTGAGCTGTATGTTTACGAGTGTATGACTATTGTGAGTGAGTCTGTGTATTTTTGTAATGTATTTATACGCCTATTGTTAGGGGGCACAATAGGTGGAAGGACACGAGCATCTGGTTAGGGATTAGGGACTGAAAACGGGGGCTTTGACTATGGGTCGGGATATCCCAGATTTTGGAGGCTGGGTTGTGGTTGCATGTACGGCATCTCACTTGCAGCTTGGACGAGACAAATTAATGTAAATAGGGGAATGTCAACCCCAGCAATACAAATATTGCAAACTGTTTAAACTCTTTAGTCTTGTGCTGTTCGGTAGTAGGTTGATGAGTGCCTCCCTGAGGGTGGTTGTTGGGCATTCATCACAGTTCGTATATCGCGGAGCGCTAATCCGGGATATAATAACTAATGCATAGCCTATAACCGCATCCTTTAATGAACTAGTTGTATTCGTAGTTGCTTGTGTATTGCCATCCATATGCGGCGCTCTTGCTATTTGTTAAAGTCCCAGCAACCAAACCTGGTCTCTCGAACTCGCCAGATATGTTCGCCTAGCAATCTAGATCAACCCGCTAGTTATCCCTTGGCCATCATTCCATCCTGACTGGGGCAACGCTACCGAAGCCCCCTGGCCGCTAAATGCAAGACGGATGAAACTAAAATAAAAGAAAATCCGCAGTTTCCCCTGCCCACAGTACTCCCGCTTGGTCCTAGCACCACCACCCACACTCACCTCCTAAAGTCGATGCTGGCCCTCGCGCTGTCTAGGCTTGGCCGCACCGACGAACTCGAGCTCCGGCGCCTCCTCGCCCGCTGTTCCGATGGATCTGACGGACGGAGGCCGCTCGACTTGGCGAAGAGATTCAAGATGTCCGTCATGGACACGACACCCGTCAGCCGGCCGGACAGCCGCGCGCCGGGCAGCCCGCTGGGTATGACGGTCGTTGTGAAGGTCTGGTTGGGGAGCGGAGAGGGTGGTGCCGGGGCATTGGCTGGCGATGGCGGCATGACCACGTTGCCTGACGGGGTGGGCCCGTCCACGCCGGTGGTCGGCGCAAACGGGGCCCCGGCCGGCTGGCTCGGTTGGAGCAGCGGCGTTGCAGGGGCGCTTGGTGATGGTGAGGCGGACTCGACAACCCACATGCGGTGAGACTTGGTGGCGACGAGTTTGGCGACGGTGTGGCCGAGGGTCGAGTACGGGTTGACGTGGAACACGGGGAACGAGTCGCGGCCGTGTTCCATGCCGCGCTCTGAGAGAATCACACTGATGAAATTCATGCATGAGCTCTTGAGAAGCGGCAGGCTGGCTGCGTTTGTGAGAAGCCTGACGTCGACGGATGAGATGTTACCGACCACATTCAGGCCTTGGTCGACCACAGCCACCGATGTCAGCCCCTCGTTGTGCATCAGTAAGAGAGCGTCGGTTAAAGGACGATCGAGGCTGTAAAATAGGTGTTAGCCGTGGGCCAATTTCAGATCAAGAGTTGCTACGCACTTGATGGCAATGATCTGCTGTGTACCGATCTGAAGGTCCCGGAGGAGACTCCCATATAACCGCTCAATTGCGGGGAAGTTGACCGCTTCGTTCCAGAAGAATTCGACGAGGCGTAGCTGGCTGAGAACACCAATCACTTCCCCAGCCTGGCTGGTGATTAGGATCCGGTGAATCCCACTACCAAACGCTTCCATCGCCCTGTCCAAGTAATCATCTGCTGATACTGCCACCAACTCCTCTTTCCGCGAAAGCGACTGAATCTCTCGCAGGGGTATGTCTTCTTGCGCCTGGGCCTTCCTCGAGATGTCGTTGTACAAAGTGACGTTTTCCTCGTCGGGGTTCGCGAGGCCGACAACCACCAGCAAGTATGCATTCAGGTCGGAGTAGTCGAATGTCGTGACGACTTCCTGGGACGAGGGCGTCTCACGCACCAGGACAACATTAGTCGGGTTTTGCTTGAGGAGCAGCTAACAACAAAGTTCGACAGTCAGCTACTAGGCGTATCGGGCAAGATATAAGGGTTGTTGCTGAGAGCGCACCATGGTAGCATCCTGAACGCTGAGGTCTAGGTCAGCCCACCTCACGTCCTCGGGCACCGCAAGCTCTCCGACAGTGATATCTCGCCAGTCCCTCCCAGCATAGCGAGGATTCGGGTGTCTGTTTGTTGGGGGGTGATTCATGAGCTCTAGAAGCGCCTGCTGCGTCAGGGACGGGTGGCGATGGTTGCGCGGTGACGGCGGGGGGTGTCTCTGGTTCTCGGCGAAGCTTTGTCGATGGGCAGCAATGTGACTGGGCTTGTGAATACTGGATTGGGAATTGTTCCTTTCCATGGGCGGCGAGACCGCCACACCCAGCGAGCTGGATGAATTGCTCGCTGTTGCGTTCCCCGCGCCTTTGGTAACTGTGTTGGTGTCCATGGTAATGCAACGTAGACAACCGCCGCGATTAGGTGGAGTTAACTAATTGATTGACTTCGCCTAGGTTAAACTCCTAGGTGATGGCCTACTAGAAAATCGGTGCCTCTTCGATGGGTAACTGGGATCGAAGAAAAAACAAGGCGAGAGTCCGTCTACACCGTTGATGCTCTCGTTAGGTGACAGGGATGAGCAATGACGGAGCTAATCACTCTACTAAATAATGCGGGGTTCTCAGGCCATGTCGAAACTCGTTGAGACGCAGATGCTCAGGCCAGAGCAGTTTCATCAGGTGATGGCGCGTGGGAATCTCACATCGGACGATGGTTTGGCGTTTTGGTACAACAGCCTATGGATTCAACCCACATGCCATTTCGAAGATGCCCGGGTCATGTTCCGGATCGTGTACCGCGTCCAAGGTCTGTTTGAGGAGCCACGCTCCCCACGCCAGCAAGACCGGCCACTGATCGACAGGGTTCCACCCCACTTTCCGACTCTTTTCCTGTCAGGTACCTTCTTGTTGACAGCGCGAGACACAACATCCAACTTGATTGGCGACAGCCTCATTTCTCCCATTGACGAGGTTAGTCTTCTGTAGTTGTTGGAGCGGGAAGATAAACAGTCGAACCCAACCAAGCAACATGCCAACGAAAGGTGAGGGGGCCTGCCAGTGAGAATTCTAAAGGAGAAAGTGTATCTAGCTTGAGTGCAGGTGACCATTCTAATTCAACACCAGTTATCAAAACAAAGCAAAATGCATGTTGGATGGACCAAACATCGGCGTTGGTTTTGTCCCCAAGTCAGAAAAGAATGTTTGTTTAGCATCTCCTTTTGTTGACTGGCAGCTATCATCCAGTAGCAATTGGTCTCATACACTGTGGAGAGTCATCCAACACGAACGTTCGGATGTTGACCATGCATCTTTCGAACAGCGTCTAAAGTAGTGAAGTCTGCCTGCTTGCCATCTCTCGGTTTCTAGTGGAACCCGGTCTATCAAATTTCAAGATTATCTAGAATCTCTGGAACATCGGGTAGATGTAGAGGTAGTCAAGGCTGAGACCCTCGGGTCGTTCCGGCGCAGAAATGTGTGAACATGGCTGTACCTTATTCGCACGGTATTTGAAGACCTGCCCCTCCCCCACCAGGTGACCAAACCAATCAAATGATAAGAATGGCCATTTTCGCTCCCCTCCTTCCACACGCCAAATGGTCCCCCTCCTGCGACTCGTCCCGTTTCTCAACACGCCGCCCACCGGTAATTTTTTTTCTCGCGCCCCTCAGCAATCGACGCGTTATCTGGCTTCTAAACCACGCCTCGAGATACCATTGCAGTTTCCCGACGTGAGTTCATCGAATTATTGCTCGCGCCACCCACCGCTGCTGCCCGAACTGGCTCCCATCTGGCTCGGGTAGCAAGGGCTGACAAGCCGTTCCACAGGCTGTAAACCTTGACGGCATCCCTCCAGTTTACATTACCTCGTCGCCCCCCGGCGACCATACATCTCGAATACATTTCACGTCCTCGAGTAACTTTTTCGATAACAACATCTGGTCAGCATGTCGGTCTTGCCGGCTGAGGTCAACGCCCAGCTGGCTCAGCTGCTCCAGCAGCTCCAGTCGGCCGACAACAATATCCGCTCGCAGGCCGAGGATGTGCTGCAAAATCAGTGGACTAGCCAAAGGCCTGAATGGTTGTTGATGGGTCTTGCCGAACAGATTGGGACCTCCACCAGCACATCCGTACGTCGCTCAACCCCGCCCAGCCCAGCGCAGACAGGAATACTAACCCTTCGCTCGCCAGCTACGGTCCTTCGCAGCAGTCATCTTTCGCCGGATAGCCTCCAAGACCCGAAAGATCGGCAACTCAGAAAATGTCGACATGTTTATATCGCTTGAAAAGGAGCACGGCACGGCTATCCGGGGAAAACTGTTGGAAACCCTGGTGACGGAGACTGACAAGGCTGTCCGAAATAAAATCAGCGATGCCGTGGCCGAGCTCGCGAGGCAGTACTACGACAACAGTACGTCCACCAGCTGCTCCTCGACGACCTAAGAGCCCTAAACGCTGACCATGTCGCAGGCGACTCGTGGCCAGAGCTGCTCCAGGTTCTCTTCACGCTTAGTCAAGCCCCCGATGCCGGCAAGCGAGAGACTGCCTTCCGTGTCTTCACAACAACCCCAGGTATCATCGAGAAGCAGCACGAAGAGGCGGTAGCCGAGGCATTTGCCCAGGCCTTCAAAGATGACTCAGTGGCGGTATGCTGATGGCTCTCCCGAGAATGAGTGTGCGAGCGCTATTGAATGGATGCTGACCCCAGTTAGGTCCGCCTCGCTGCAATGGAAGCTTTCGCCGCTTTCTTCCGCAGCCTAAACAAGAAGAACCAGACGAAGTACCACGTCCTTCTCCCCGAAGTACTCAACATTCTCCCTCCCATCAAGGACTCTCAAGACTCCGAAGATCTGAGTAAGGCTCTGGTCGCTCTTATTGACCTTGCCGAGGGGGCGCCCCGAATGTTCAAGCAAATCTTCAATGTCCTGGTGCAGTTCAGCATTTCGGTGATCCAGGACAAGGAGCTCAACGACCTCTGTCGCCAGAACGCCTTGGAGCTCATGGCCACATTCGCTGACTATGCGCCGTCGATGTGCAAGAAGGATCCCAACTACACCAACGACATGATCACGCAGTGCCTCAGCCTGATGACCGACCTAGGCGAGGACGACGACGATGCCGCCGAGTGGCTTGCGGCAGACGACCTCGATGACCCCGAGAGCGACCAAAACCATGTTGCTGGTGAGCATTGCATGGATCGCCTCGCCAACAAGCTCGGCGGCCTAGTCGTCCTGCAACCGACCTTCAACTGGCTCCCCCGAATGTTGTCGTCTCCTGCATGGAGGGACCGCCATGCCGCTCTCATGGCGATATCCGCTATCTCTGAGGGGTGCCGAGACCAAATGATTGGCGAACTCAAGCAGGTCCTCGAGCTGGTCGTTCCTTCGTTGAAGGACCCCCATCCCCGTGTCCGATGGGCTGGCTGCAATGCGCTGGGCCAGATGAGCACCGACTTTGCGCCCACGATGCAGAAGGAGTATTATGATACTGTTCTCTCCGCCATTGTTCCGGTTCTCGATTCCCCGGAAGCCCGTGTCAAGTCTCACGCGGCTGCCGCCCTGGTCAACTTCTGTGAAGAGGCCGAGAAGAGCGTGCTTGAGCCATACCTCGACGGGTTGCTGACTGCTCTCTACCAGCTTCTCCAAAACGAAAAGCGATACGTCCAAGAGCAAGCCTTGTCCACAATTGCCACCATCGCTGATGCGGCAGAGCAAGCGTTCTCTCGGTATTACGAGACCCTGATGCCCATCCTCGTGGGCGTCCTTAGGCGGGAGAATGACAAGGAGTACCGGTTACTCCGGGCGAAAGCGATGGAATGCGCGACTTTGATTGCCCTCGCGGTTGGCGCTCAGCAGCTCTCTACCGACGCCGCCATGTTAGTCCAGCTGCTAGGGAGCATCCAAGATACTGTCCAAGATCCGGATGACCCGCAGGCTCAATATTTGATGCACTGCTGGGGCAGAATGTGCCGCGTCATGGGCAAGGCTTTCCTTCCCTACCTGTCGAAGGTCATGCCACCGCTCCTGGAGTTGGCGAGCGCTAAGGCCGACATTCAACTTCTCGACGATGACGAGCAGATCGAGAAGTTCCAGCAAGAAGAGGGTTGGGATTTGGTGCCAATCCGTGGCAAGACTATTGGCATCAAGACGAGCGTGATGGACGACAAGCACATGGCCATTGAGCTGCTAGTGGTGTACGCCCAGGTGCTCGAGGAAGACTTTGCGCCGCATGCGGAGGAGATTATGGAGAAGATCGCCCTACCCAGCCTCGCCTTCTTCTTCCATGACCCCGTCCGGTTCGTGTCCGCTAAGCTCGTGCCCCAACTCCTCAGCTGTGTCAAAAAGGCATACGGGCCCCAATCAGAGCAGCTCGCAAGCCTCTGGGGAAAAACGGTCGACAAACTCCTCGAAGTGCTCTCAGCCGAACCGGCCATTGATACCCTTGCCGAGATGTACCAGTGCTTCTACGAATCGGTTGAGGTTATCGGTAGGCCGTGCCTCAACGACGGGCACCTCGCTCGCTTCATCGAGGGGGTCAACTCCACACTCGAGGATTATAAAGACCGTGTCGCGAAGCGCGAGGAGGAACGGCATGGTGTGGCAGCTGAGGATGCCGAAGACGAGCAAGAAGAGCTTCTTATGGCCATCGAGGATGACCAGACTCTACTTTCCGACATGAACAAGGCGTTCCACTGCGTATTCAAGTATCATGGCGCTAACTTCCTGCGCCACTGGGAGCACCTGCTATCGACCTACCAGGGGTTCCTCAAGTCCAACGATCCGACCCAGCGGCAGTGGGGACTGTGCATCATGGATGATGTTCTCGAGTACTGCGGCGTGCAGAGCAGCCAGTATGCAAATTACATCACCCAACCCTTGGTCCAAGGTTGCCAAGACCCGTCACCGGCCATCCGTCAGGCTGCTGCGTACGGAATCGGTGTGGCAGCACGCCACGGCGGAGATGCGTGGTCGGCATTCTTGGGCGGGGCTGTTCCTTACCTATTCGAGGTCATGCGTGTTCCGGATGCGCGCGATGAGGACAACGTGTATGCGACAGAGAATGCGTGCGCTGCCATTGCGAAAATCCTCCACTTCAATGCCTCGGCCGTCCCGCAGCCCGACCAGGTTGTGGCCGAGTGGCTTAATACGCTACCAATCACCAACGATGAGGAGGCGGCACCGTATGCCTATCTCTACCTCACGGAGCTCATCAGCAAGTAAGTCTTACCCCATTTCACTCTTGGGTGTTCTTGGGCCAGCTAACTGTTTCCAGGCAACACCCAGCAGTCATGTCACAAGCACCGCGGATATTTGTGTTTGTTGCGCAGGCTCTGGAGGCCGAGGCCCTCAGTGGACAAAATGCTGCCCGTGTTGTGGCAGGAACTAAGCTTCTTGTGGAAGGAACGGGCACAGACGTCTCACCGCTGCTGCAGCAATTCTCGCCCGAGGCTCAAAATGTCATCCGGGCGTACTTCGTCTAGGACCGACACCGCGGAAGACTGTGTGAGCGCCGGCCAGAATGGGTGAACCTTAGGATATGGAAAACCGCACAGCTGGCAAAGCGGCAAGCGTACTTGGCGACGGTTGGCGGTCTGTTTGGTAGTTAACTCGTGCGGCCACTGCCTGGACGAGCAGGGGGTCCAGGATGTGGGAGGTGGAACGATACCATCTGATGTCTGGTGGAAGGAAGCAACAGACTCGGTAATGCCGCGTATTCAGTGGGATTGCCCTTATTAGTTTTGCAGAGTAAGAAACTAAGAAAGATGAGAAAGCCGAAAAAAAGTGTGCTGCGACAAGCCAACGGCCAAGGGCAAAACCTCTGGCCATGCTCAGGGTTTAAGAAAGCCTTCCAGATTGTCCCCATCCATGTCTGTAGCTAGCAGGAGAAAGAAAGCAGGGCCATATTTGGTACTTTGCGTCAGCTCATCAACGGCGGTCAATCGGAGAGTCGGAGGTATGGTGATGATGGGAGAGCGTCTATTGTGTTTCTGTACAATTAGTCAAAATAGAAGTTTGTTTCGTGTGAATACGTATAGTTATACATATAAATCGAAAAGGCTCGCAAGTACCTGCACCTTGATTTCTGCTGTCTCTTTGTTCCCCCGAGACGAAAAAGACAACTAACTAGCACACAGTATCGCTACGGACACCCTCACGGTCTACACAAAGGCCTAGATCCCCACCGAATAACCGTTGCCCCGCTCGAGAGAAAAGGCTCATGCCGATCCGAGTTGCTGCGTCGTCACGGTCGTTTCTTCCATCGTCGCCACCACTTTCAGGTGGCGATCTCCTCGCAAGAGTACGTAGGCATGCAGTAGTACCCCACGGCCCGGCACCTCGGAACAAGAAACGCGGTGATTTCCCAAACAACTGGGTCGTTCGGTTCGTGTCATGGGAATGGGCCAGGCAGCCAAGCCATGACGATCTTGCGCATCCCGCTCTGATGACTGGGAAGATGTTGGGAAGGTGCCCCGCTCCAATCCCAGCACCCAGGCTCCCAAGCAAGTGCCATGCCCGTTGCTGGATGGGAAAAAAGTAAAATCGGTTGAGGTTTGGTCACATTCCCATGTTGGCCATCCGCCGTTATCGCACTTCGCCATAATTACCTAAGTTTCGCCCACGCATCCCGATAGTTAGTTACTGTGCATGTGGTGCAACCCCAGAGCAGCCGAGCACGCCCAAGTCGAAGCCACCCCTCGAGCCACACTTTTTGAGATGCCCCGTTTCTTTCTCTCGTGGCAATAGCTCCGGCTCCAATCGGGGCCAAGCTTTGGATGCCAGAGACCCGCACACACAGCCAAAAGAACCCGTCTGCTCAGGCGAATGCAATTCAGGTTCTCGATCGCCCGATCTAGCCATCGATAGCTGGCAGAAAGCCGTGCCCCGGCATTTTTGCACCGGCTGTTCTCGCCCATTTCCCAATGACCTACCGATGCGAGCCATTCCACCACAAACATCAAAAACACAAAAGCAACAAGTCAACTTTTTCCTCGTTACAACGATGGTTACCTAAATCCTTTCCTTTGCTGATACGTGACCACTAGCTGTCTTGAACGCTCCTCGAACGAAGGCGGCCAATGACGCCGTGATGAATAACAACTTTTATTCCTCCTCCTCGCTGACGCCAGAAGAAACCCAGCGGCGGCTGGCGATGCAACAGAATGGGCAACAGGATCAAAACCACGGCCAAAATGTGATGGCTGGTACGGGGAACATGGGAGATCTGGACCTAACGAGTCCTCTATCGACGACCATGGAAGACTTGCCCATGCCTGAAGGCGAGTCGCTGGACGACATCATCAACCAGAATAATCGGGAGTTACAACGGAGGCGGAGCGTCCCGCATCCGTTTCCGAGCCAGCTATCGCCGCCGGAGGTTGACCGTCGCCTATCGATGATGGATTTCACCAACGCCGCCGGTAGTATCCCGGGGTTCTCCTATGTCTATCCTGACAGTGCGACCTTGCCGAATACCTCTGGTCAATTCCCGCAGCCGGGCCTCATTGGGATGTCTAGCCAGCCAGGGTTTGGCACGGTCTCCCCGGCTACGATGAGGTTAGACCCCCTCTTCCCGGATCTGGACATGGGGTCAATGGGCGCGGATCCAGCTTCTATAGGCTTCTTCGACCCGTCCGGCCTAAACGCTCCTTTTCCGTCCAGCAATCTCGGCGGCGTTAATCCAAACTTTGCCATGGACATGGGCATGGATGATACCATTATCGACGCGCCTGGTGCGAACTCGATCGCCGGGTTCGCGTTGGGGGGAGACGGTTCCATGTTGCATGGAACCGGTGAGACGTTCGACGCCACGTCCGTTCCCCAGGAGAACTCTAACCTCCTGACAGCTCCACAAATGCGTCAGCCCCAACCCAACGCGCCATACCCCGAACCGCGCGAGGCATCGATCTCGCCATCGGTCCCCGCATCGTTCCACTCGCCGGCATCAGGCACTTCTCGGACCATGTCCCACTCGAGTGCCGGTCAGCCGAACGTTCCCGTGACGCCAGCTTCGACCGCACGAACTAACTCCGGTCCGGCTCGCCCTGCCGGCGTCGGAACACGCAATCCCAAGAAGGACATCTACTCAAAAAGTGGATTTGACATGGTTCGAGCCTTGGCCTACGTCGCGAACAGGAAGAACCCCACGGTCGAGATCGGTGCTGTCGACTTCTCGTGCGCCTTTGTCGTGACGGACGTGACGCTCAACGACTGCCCCATCATTTACGTGTCGGACAATTTCCAGAACCTCACCGGGTACAACCGGCACGAGATCGTTGGCAAGAACTGCCGCTTTCTGCAAAGCCCGAGCGGTGTTGTCGAAGCAGGATCAAGACGCGAGTTCGTGGCGAATGACGCCGTCTTCAAGCTCAAGAATGCCGTCGCCGAAGGAAAAGAGATACAGCAGAGCCTGATCAACTACCGCAAAGGGGGCAAGCCGTTCTTGAACTTGCTGACCATGATCCCTATCCCCTGGGAAACTGACGAGATCAAGTACTGCATCGGCTTTCAGATTGACTTGGTTGAGTGTCCCCAAGCCATCTCCGGCCAGGAAGCTGGCGGGGTGCAAGTTGTTAATTACTTACACAACGACATCGGGCAATACAATTGGGCGCCCCCGAACACGACCCAGTGGGAGCCGGAAAGCGGCCAGACCCTCGGCGTTGACGACGTGTCCTCCCTCATTCAACAATACAGGCCCAAGGCTACTCCCTCGGATTGGCAAAGACAGTCCTGGGACAAGATGCTCCTTGAAAACGCCGACGACGTGATTCACGTGCTTTCTCTCAAGGGACTCTTCCTCTACCTTTCGCCGGCTTGCAAAAAGACGCTCGAGTACGAACCCTCCGAGCTAGTCGGAACCTCCCTCTCGTCCATCTGCCACCCCTCCGACATTGTCCCCGTCACGCGCGAACTCAAGGACGCGCAGCAAAACCTGTCCGTCAACATCGCCTTCCGCATCCGCCGCAAGCACTTGGGCTACACCTGGTTCGAGTGCCACGGCACGCTCTTTTGCGAGCCGCAGGCCAAGGCGCGGAAGTACATCATCCTCACCGGCCGCAAGCGGCCCGTCTTCTCGCTCCACCGCCGCGACGTCGCCCTGCACTCGGCCGTCGGCCTGGGCGGCGACAGCGAGATCTGGTCCAAGATCTCCGCGTCGGGCATGTTCCTCTTTGTCTCGTCCAGCGCCAAGTCGCTGCTCGACCTCGCGCCGCGCGACCTCCAGGGCACCAGCATGCAGGAGCTCCTGCGCAAGGAATCGCGCAGCGAGTTTGGGCGCACCATCGAGAAGGCTAGGAAGGGCGCCGCCGCCACCCTCAAGCACGATATCCTTCATAAGAGGGGCCAGCTGGTTGCCGCAGAGACGACCTTCTACCCCGGATGCGGCACGGGCTCTTCCGCAGAGAGCCGAACATCAAGCTTTTTGATGGCGCAGACGAGGATCTTGAAGGGGGCTGGGAGGGTGATTGCTGGGGGTAAGGGGGGTCCCAGCGGGATTATGATGATGGGTGGCGGTGGTGGTAATGGCGGCGAGGATGCGATGACGGGTGTGGTCCTCGGTTCCCCAGCGGCGCCGATAATGGCGGGATCGCACCCGGACTCATCGGATGAGGATGATGTTGAGGGGGACGTGTTTCCCGAGCTCAAGACGACGCGATGCACGTCCTGGCAATACGAGCTCAGGCAGATGGAGAAGGTCAATAGGCTGCTGGCGGAGGAGCTCACGCAGCTAATGAACAACAAGAAGAAGCGGAAGCGGAGAAAGGGCGGCGGCACTGGGCACGGTAAGGGAGGGAAAGGGGAGGAGTGCAGGAACTGTCACACGCGGGATACCCCTGAGTGGAGGAGAGGGCCGAGCGGGAATAGGGACCTGTGCAATTCTTGTGGGCTGCGCTGGGCGAAACAAGTAATTTCCCCCCCTCGCCTTAACTCTCCTACTAGTCATGGTTACTAACGAAAAGAACAAGATGGGCAAGGTCACGCCTAGGAACACCTCCCGCGGCAACAACGACGCCAACGCCAACAACAAGCGAGGAAGCAGCAGCACCGCAAGCACAGCATCCCCCGCGGCGGGGTCACCTTTGCGAAGGGAGGTGTCAACCGATTCCCCCAGCGTTGGCAGTTTCGGTGAGGGAGGCGGCAACGGCAGCAACGGCGGCAGTGGCAGTAGTGGCAGTAGCGGCAGTGGTGGCAACAGCCTGGGGATGGTATCTATTCAAGAGGAGTAACGGCGTGGTGTCACTTTCTTATCCTGCGCTGCTGGACGCGGATGTTTCCTTTTTGCCAGGATCATTCACTTACTGGCAGCAGGCTGGCCTTTTCTTCTTCTTTTTCTTTCTCACAGACCGTTGGCTGGCCGGCTGTCATGTCCTGGGAGCCATGGCATCTCCCTTCCAGTATACCACTTTATTTCCTCTCTTCAACAAGGTTCGGATACTCTTCTGTACGATGGTATGGTACGGTTGTTCGGCGCGGGACATATGCCGGGACATTTATCAGGATATTTATCGGGTCATCTCTTGGGTCATCTATGGGGACATCTAGATTGGCGTACGGGCAACTGGGCGGCTGGACCTGGGGGGACACACACATCAAGGGCCGAGGTCCCAAACTCGGGGAAAATATCAGTCAGGCCAGGCTTGGGAAGGAAAGTTTGGCACTGTGTGTCGATTATACCCATGATGAGATACGAAAACATCAAATGAGATGAGGATTGTCAACGCGCTGAGACCCTTCGTTTTGTGCAGACATGACTGTTTTTTGTGCGTTTCTCATCTTGGCTTCCTCGTCCGGCCCCAACAAACGTCTGATGTGCCCCGCGGCTTGATAAGCGTATCTCCCATCCTCGCGGGGCGTATTATTTCTTTCTGCGCTGACATCATCCATCAATGCGTCCGGAATAGGATAATTCACTGTTGCCAGGTCCCAAGGCCGAGGGATGACCCCCAAGCCCAACTCCACTAACGACCCCTGGAGTTCATTCCGGAGAAAGCCTCGAAGAGGGCAGCGCTCGAAGAGGGCAACGCTAGGGCCGCCAGGTATCCTCACCTTCCTTACCTACCCTTGCCAGCCTTCCATTGGACACAACCCGCTCGGTGACGCGAAGAAACGCGGTAGTTAACTAACTAGTGGTGTTTGTCGTTTGAACAAGGGACGGAGGTTTTGTGTCGGTGTTGGCGAGACCCGCCGGTTCGGGAAGACACAAGACAGGGGGATGGGGAGATGTCTTGAAACACACACTGACCGGGGGCGGAGATGGTTGCCGCGGGGGAGGTTGAGTGGCTAAGCCTCAATGGGATGTCGGACTTGGGGGTGGGAACTTTGGAATCAAACTCACTGCGCGCGCGCGCTTGCTTGCTTTTCTTTGCTTGACACCGGCGGCTGGGGATGACGGGGTATGTCAACAAGGTAGGGGGTTATGGATGTACATAGTTATGGAGTGTACAGGATGTTTCTTTTTGGGGAAAGCCTTCCTTTAGCAGCAGTTTGTTATGAGGAACTTCTTCAGCTCAGCTCGCCTATCTCGATATCCATCGTATTGTGTATGTCTGCCGTTCCATGCGCCCTTCTCTGTCCAACCTTCCGCTGACGAACCTCAAAGAGACAAACACTCTCTCCTCTGCCTCCCTTATTGGATACCAGCAATCAGATCCATCAATCGCATCGGTGGGCATTGGCGTTGGCAAAATCCAGAATCCTACGCCAGTGATGATTGGATGTCTAACAGGGGTGCTTGCAGCCAGGCAGCAGAATTCTTGCTGAGCTTAAATCCTACCTCATCTTCCAACGCCCAAAGGGGAGTGTGGAATGCAGCATGCACGCTTGTGACGTGATCACAACGCGACGGGCAAGCTAGGCTTTGTCAGGAGGCCATGCTACCTGCCGGCAGAAGGTTTGTGATAGGGGCTGGGTGGTATGGTGGTGTTCAGCGGCTCATGGAGCACCCCCTCGTGGTCGACACGCCGACGGCCTGCTGCGGCATGGGACGGGGTATGTACATACACTCGTTACGGCACGCGCAGGAATGCGTAGCTCGTTCTGGACCAGCCAGCCACGAGCCTGGGACACTGAAGCTGGGCTTGCTTTGTCCCCAAGCGAGGCTATCATCCCCAAGACCCGAAGCGGCTCGCTTGTTTCCCCCCCTTAACCAGACGGGGGTGAGGGCCCAGCCGGCAGACTCCGTCTCCCAATCCTCAGGGCCTGTAAGTTGTTGCCTGGTCTTGGAGGGTCCATCCATGACTTCCATTACCACACTACACAACACACAGTGACAACCAACACAGCATTCGAGTGGACCCAAGATCTGGCGGGAACGGGCCCGGTCCCGCCTGTCTGCGAAATCTTCTGTCAAACCCTAGCTATCCGTCTCCGGCCCGTCGTCGAGGACTGGGCCTCGACGCGCTGAAACCTCTAGTGGCTTGAAGCACTGCGTGTGATGCTACATCGGCTGAGAAAGGAAAAACCCCGTCCTGCAGGTACACGGGGGAGGAGGCTGAATGATGACTTCCGTGTTTCCCGGCTCTCAAAACATGACTTCCCGAGTGCCTTGCCATTGATCAATCTGTTGGATGTGGTCGAGCTGACAGCGAAACCCGTTTCGAAACATATCCAACAGCAAACAACGTTACACTCCCGTCATGATCTGCAGGAACATCCACAATCTCTCACTCTCCGGCCCGATCACGATCACTTACAAGCCACGCCGCTGTAACACCAAGTTTCCACTGCGCCCACCAGCCGGACTTGGTTATTACCACCGCGGAAAGGTGGGACAAGACCAACAACGCCCGCAAACAGCCGCCAGCAAGATTGGAAGGATCCCGGATGGCCACCGGGGCTCGACCATTTTGTCGACCGACGGCCCCCCGTCGCCTGCTAAGTGGCACATCTGCTTCCGAGGGATGCGGAGATCTGTTAAGGCATCCAACCAACCATCACCTCCACCCGTCCGATGTTATCCATATCTAGGTCCGATCTGGGTTTTCCAACCCCGGAGTATGGACGTACAACGGGTGCGGAGTCCCGGCCTCGAAACGCCGTGGGGGAGCCGGGCCTCTTCGATCAGATGCTTCCTGCTTGGCGATGGATGAACTGCAAGCGGCGTTGGCTGAGAGGGATCTCGACAGCACCCGGCTTGGGACGGCTGGAGATACACAAACCCCTGATCCAGTCTTTGGCCTCCTCTGAATGTACCACCCTCCCATTGTAGTAACTTGTGAAAGAAACCACACCGTCTTGTGTAGCCTCTGGTGTTAGGTAACGGAATTAGAGTTCAAGCGGTCAGTGAATGCCCACCCGCAAGCCGCCGGCGGTGTACATACTGCCTAAGAAAGGCATTACTCCCATCACCGATCCACCAACTCGCCGCCCCCGGACAGGGCAGTTTGGGTGATCAACAGCCAAGTGTACAACAACCCAACGGCTCCCCACTTTCTCTCATCCCGTCACAACAGAAACTACAACCACAACCCACCCCATCTCCACCAAGACTTGCCCCCAACGAGCCGCTCCCTACACTGTCCTACACATCCAAGCAGGGCACGGCTTCTCGCTGCCTAGCACATGCTACCCCTTCAGCTGTAAATCTCCCACGATGCCGCTCGCCTGCGTGGGTAAGCGGCTACGACAGACACCTGGAACGCCGAGGTAGTGCTGCCACGAACACTACCCAAGCCTCCAAGGGGGTGGTATGGCATGGCAAATGGCAGGTCGTATAATGAGAAGAAACAAGAACAGCGCCTGGGAGGGAAAACGGCCCCCACCACCCATCATGTCGGAATCTGGTCCCGTCTGCGGCGCTCCGCTTCCGATAACTATCTACCTAACTGCTGCTGTCTCGAATATGGGAGCCTACAGCGACGGAGATTGAGCCGGTTGGCGCCGTTCGGGGTTGGCTTCTCAGCCCCGCGGGAAGTGCCTGGGAGGGAGCATGTGGTGATGGTGCATGGACCGGAATTGATGGAGCATTCTCCCTCTCTTTGTGTGTTCAGCCCGTGCTTGAATGGGGGAGGAGGGGGATGAAGATACATCCATATCTGGTAGGTGTCGTGTCGTCTGCGGCTGCTGAACCGACCCCCCGCAGCAGCAGAGGAAGTGGTCCTTTGAACGCCCGCATGGCCCGAGGCGGTGGTGAGACGGTCCAGTCACTTCAGTGTGCTCTAGTTGATGAACTGCTGCTGCTGCTGCTGGCGCTGGTACGTTCTGGCCTGGGGAGACGGCCCTCAGCCACCCCCTCCCAGTGAACGGGATAGGGCACAGCACGCACGGGGTATCAACCCGGGACTGGAGTAACGTGGAAATGGGTGAAAGCGACAACGATTACTGGCCAGACCAACTACTCAAACAGCCTTACCGCCCCGATCCCCAAACGGCGAGGGGACGGGATGAGAATGGATCCCAGCCATGTGCGCCAACGCCCACGCCAGGAACTCGAAACAGGACTTACCACGCGCAGCGGCTAGCAAGTGCCGAGGATGAAGCCCCATCCCCTCCGGCTGGCTGAGGCGGTAGTTCCGGCAGCAGCAACCCTTTAAGGCAGTCGAGACCTCCCAAGGTATGTATGTACGACGTACGATGTAATGTAGCACCAATACGCGCGCCCCCCTCCACATCTCCCCTAGCGCCACTTCGCAGCGTATTTCTTGCGCCCTGCCATAAGCAGCATCATTCATCATCAACCATCATCATCAGCAGCAGCCTGATCCACACACGCCGAGGCCGGGCCGAGTACCACTCCCCACACCGAACCGGCACCTCAGGCTAGTTAGTGTGTATCACAGGGGGGAGCGGTTCTGAAAAACCCCTTCAGTTCAGGGGGTGCTTCTAGTATCGGCAGTGTCGGGAACGAGGGTACGAAGTACTTCGTACATACCATGCCAACCTTGATGTGAAATATTCCGAAATGGTAGATTTGCTGGCAGGTTCTGGAATTCAGGGGCTGGCATGGCAAGTGCTTGAAGCCGCAGCATTGCTCATCTCAAGCTGAGTGCGGCCGCATAGCAGGCCGGGCCAGGGGCGAGCTCGATCCTCGCTGCCTGATTTTCTCGATCCGGTTTAGGAAAACGCCTCGTAAACGGTGGCAACCAACGCCGGAATAAGCATGAAATAACAAAATCTCAGCGCGTGGAGGGAGCAAACATGTTTTCGTATTCCAAGGCACGGAGGAGATGATGTGGGACATGCAAGCATAGCAGCAGAAGTTGCTCTCATTGATTAGATTAGGCGCTGGTGAGAGACGCCCTCCAACGCGCCCTGAAAGCAGGGTGCGAAGAAAATACGGAAAAGACAATAGTTAGTAAAAAAAAAACATTGTAAAGCTTTTTGGGAATATCCACCACTGGGCCGCCCGAGATACCCAACTCCAAAAAAAGCGCTCAAAATACCAAACCAAACCCGCTGAGATGCTTTAGAAAATCGCGATATTCGTACACCCGCCATCGCTTCTCTCATAAACGTCGTTAACCTCAAAACCCCCAGGACTTTTCCCCCAACGCCACCCGTAAACGTAGACCCCCAAACCATAAAAAAGCACAGCCAAGAACCAAGTTCTCCCCCAGCCACTAGTGACCCCTCTCACGAAACCAAAGCTCCTCCGACCGCGTCGACAGCGTGCGCTGCAACAGCGAAGCCGGCACCTGAGCCGGGCTGAAGGCGGCATCGGTCAGCGGGGAGACAACACCAGCCGGGAGGCGGGCCTCGACAGGGTGGGCGGTGGAGGACATGGCCGCCGTGGAGGACCAGCGGTGGATGGGGCTCTCGTCGGGGGTGGTGGGGTCGTCGGTGGCGCTGTTGTTGCTGAAGACGGTGTCGCGCCGGCCCTGGTTCCACCACTGAGTCTCGAAGCCGTTGTCCACCGTCATCATGGCCGCCGAGAGCGCGCCAAGCTCCTTGGCCCGGCCGGTTTCGACGTCGCGCACGGGGGCGGACGAGGAGGAGGGTTCCGGTGAGATGGTGATGGTAGGCTCGGCCGCGACGAAGGCGGGCTCGGGCGAGAAGGTAGAGACCATGGTGGGGTTCGTGGCGTAGGTGGTTGAGTTGCGGTCGCCGGGCTCCGAGATGACGGGGATGGATTCGTACGTGTCGTAGTCGCCGTAGTCTTCCTCGTCTTTGGGGTGCGTGTCTGGGTCGTAGCCGTCTGGTAGAGACCATGTTGACCATGGTTGGCCTCCGTCGCCGAGGCGGAACTGTGACGGGGGTGCGGGCAATGGTTTCCGCCTGATTTCTGCGGGATTGCGTTCGGAAGGGGGCATCTCTGAATTCCTTGCCTGGAGGTGGGGGATGTTTACGTCCCACGGGTTCTCGCCGATGGGAGGCGGGGCAGAGCGGCCTCGCTCATGGGATGAGGAGCGGGTATCCGCCCTCGTTGGCCGCTCTGGTTCCTGGATGACTGGTACTTCAAGATGTGTGCGTGGCTGTTGTCGTGGTTGTTGCCGTGGTTGCCGAGGCTGTTGCCGTTGCTGTTGCTGTTGCAGGTGCAGTTCCCGTGGTTGTTCCCCCTGGTAGTACTCCTGCATCTGGTGATGCCTGTGCGGGTTGTTCTGGCGGTTCTCGCGGGCTCTGGCTTGTCTCTGGTCAAAGTTGTGGATGGCGGCGAGGTAGTTGGTGTTGGGTGCGGGCACTTGACGCGGGAAAGCAGGGGACCTTTCCCGTGGACCGCGGGACCTAAAGGTGATCTGGTGGTTCTTTGGGGGCTGTTGCTGTTGTTTCTTGCCGCCCCATGAGACCCTGAACTCCAAATGGACGTAGATCTCGGGAGCCCATCGTTCGCTCCGTGGTTGGGGTTGAGTCTGTGCTCGAATCGGGTGGTGATCCATGGTGGGCGCCGTCATCCTTTCTTTCTTACTGAGTACCGAGCAGCTGCACGAGTGAAACCCTGGGTGGACCGTCTTTGGTATACGACTTATAACTAAACGGACGAGTGGCAAGATACGAAACCGGATTCTTGTTGCTGATTGATGGTGGTGGTCGGATGAGCTGAGCAGAGCAGAGCCGCTCTCTCTCGAATCAAATTGTCGGCAATTCTGCCCATGCCCGCTCTTGGGGAGAGGCGAACCTTGAAGGGGGGGGGCCAATCTGATGTTTAAGGTCTTGGTCGAACGCGGGTCATCAGGGGTGCTACGAGCCCCGAGGGGTGGGGTGAGTGACAAGAAAAGGAACAAGACCACTGCAGGGGTGGATGGATGCTTGTGGGTGCTGCGGTGGGTGCACTGCCGCCGGGCGGGGATTATTTTGGTTTTGGTGAAAAAGCGGCAGCCTGGCGATGTCGGTCCCCTTGTGCAATTAGCTAATCTCCCACCTCTTCCCGCCGGACCGCTGAGTTGGGCAGCCGTAAGCCAAATGCAGAAGGGGCAAAAGTCCCTGCGCGAACAGCACTGCAGGGGGCCGGGGATCGGCTGCATTCCGCTCTCCCATGTTTCTGCGAGAAGCATGATGCAACATGCAACCCAACAGCCGGTGGAGTTTTGACAGCGAGCGAGCCTATGATGGCTCATTTCAGATTTCTCAAGCATGCGAGCTTTTACAAGGCCGGCCTCAATTGAAGCTTCGGCTTTCCCCGTGAAGGCGAGGTCCTCGGCGACGGCAAGCTCGGCTTCCCTTCTCGGGCCCGGTTGGGGGGCTTCGGCGGGCCTGGAGGAAGCTAATCCTCGAGGCAGTGCTGCCACCACAATGAACGCCTGACTGCCCCAACTGACCGCCGCTCCCACCAACAATCAGTTCGGACGACAATGGAAAAGCGACAAAAAAGGATCCATGTAATGCGAGCTGTGGAGCGGAACAGTTAGGCTCCAGATGAATGAGTGTGAGTTGTCATGAGAAACTCGGCACCGAACCACCGAAGCGCCGAAACGAAAGAATTCGTGACTTTCTTTTTTGCACGCCGAATGCCTTCGAGGTCAGAGTTTGGCCAGTGCCACGATTCATTTCCGGAGCCTATTCTTGGTGTCAAACTGTGGGGAGTGACGCGCGAAGGAGCGACGCGCACCGCGTCGTCAAGAATTGTCGTCGCAGTGGGACTGCGCTGGAAGCTAGGATGAGTGATGGGCAGCAACTCAGCGCCAACGGAGTGCTTCCTCGGCCTCTTGTGTGGTTGGTCGAGACGGGGATGCTGCTTCTTCTCGAAGAGCGGGGTCCGCACGTGGCCGATTACTTTGTTTGCCGTGCCACTTGCGGCCCTTGTCGTCCTTGCAATTGGAAAAGCTTCAGGCTCAAACAAGAAAAGTTCAGACCAGGCTGGTGAGCTTTGTGATTCCGTGGGGATAGGCCATGGGTTAATTTACGGCTATATCAGACTGCTGGGTCATGTGGGATGCAGTTCGCCAGCCGCTTTTGGTACGCCCCTTGGTGGATATAACATGCACCTAGGACCGCGTTTATCCAGAGCTCTACGGTCTACCTCTATCGGCCTTTTCAAAATAAAAAGTTGACATGTCCTTCAACCATATGTTTTTATCGGGCACCCGGGCCGGGCTGATGTAGTGTAGCTGCGCTGTTGCCCAGGCTAACGGGGCCTACTAGTTATCCGCCAGTTATCAGATGACCTGGTCGGGTCATTGCTCGGTATGCTCCTCCCGAAAGAGGCACAGGAGGTCAAGAATTGAAAACCGTCGCCTAGTCCTTACAGGCAGGGCTGATGTTTCACCCACATGAATATGGACACAGCCGCCAGACCAGGTTTGCTATTGCTGTAGCCTCGCTGCCTCTCTCAATGTCTCGGATTCAACTTTTCTTTGAGCTGGTCTCGTATGCCTGCCTGTAGGTACCAGGCATTGCATACTCAAACATGTCCTCAGCAGTTCAAGCCGCTAAAGGCTTTTGATCTGGGGAGGATTGTTCAAAACATGCGCCGACGTCCGCCAACGCGACTTTGACGCGCATTAACTCGAAGTGGCAGGCGAAATCAAACCGGCCGAAGGAATGGCCTCGGGACCGGAATCAACTGCAAGAACACGAAGTTGACAAGAACTACGAATACAACTACCGAGAACCTGGCTCACCGCTCATCATCCTCAAGCTTTTTGTCCAGCTGGCATCGTGTCAATGATCCTGCTGAATCCTCAAGGTGGGGGGCCAAGCAAAAAAAGAGAGGTGAGAAGAACCCACAAGAAGCTCTCGAAGAATTCGCAACAAGACCCTCGCATTTGTCGGATCTCCCCGAAGGATGCAAAAGAGATCGGCGGATGCGGGACCCGGCCTCTCCCAAGCCACCACCCCAGTCCAGGCAGGGAGGGGATTGGGCATCAGCCACCATTGCGGATTCTCTCCAAACTTTAAACATTTTAGTCTGGAAGCCTTCCATTCCTTCCATGGACGCTTCCATCACCCACGCGCGCCAGGCACCGGGATTCCAAAACAAAGAATCGCGAAGACTGCGTCTGTCGGCCGATCCGCTGTAGGGATAGATGCTTTTGGCTCTATCCACTAGGAACCTTGCAGACAAACACTACACTAGTTTATACACTACAGGAAGCCTTGCACCCTTGGGTCCCAAAAATAACTAACCAGCAATGGATTGCCAGACACGTTTGTCTTCTTCTCGGTCTCGGTCGTTGAAATACGATACACCCTTGCCCGACCATGTTCGCGAAGGGATTCATTAATTCATTAGGTAAACCAAAACTCTAACTGCCTTAACTAACCAATGTATGTATCAGGGTATCCCTCAAAAAGCCCTCCTCGCCCAAACTCCCAAGATCCAATCTAGCCAAACAATACCGACCAAACAAACCAGGACAAAAGAAACCATCCCCCACCTCCTTTCCCAGCCCAAACAAACAACACACCCCCCCAACCACTCACACCTGTGCCTCCCCATCCCTCACCACCTTCCCCTCCCCAACCTCCCAAAACCTCGTCTCCTTATCCCGCCCCTTCACCAGCCCCCACAGGTCAAACGGATCAAGCAGCGTGACCACAAACGGCCGCCCATCCTTATACCCGGGCCCCTTGACCTCGGTCACGCCATCCAGCGCGAGATAGGTCTTGGTGCTCTGGGGCAGGTACTTCCTCGGATGGCGCACGTTCATCAGCACATGGTTCAGCAGCATCAGCGTGGCCTCAAACACCCAAAAGAACCACTCGTAGCGGATCGCCGGGCTGAGCGTGTCCGGGTCGATGCCGCCGGGGCGCCAGAAGTCGTGCTGCGAGATGGTCCAGTACTCGGCCCACGCGGAAGACGGTGCGCACCGCGAGCAGGAAGGTGGACGCGTAGAGCGTGTAGAGCGCGTTGAGGAGGTTGGGGTTGCGCAGTCCCGCGCGCACGCAGCGCCGGTGGAAGGTGCCCGCGAGGAGGGTGAAGAGGAAGAGGACGCCGAGTTGCATGACCAGGGCGGCTTTGAGGAGCGCCCGGCCCATGTCTTGCTGGGCGGGGGTCAGGGATTGGTTGACGCTGTAGGCGACGCCGTTGCCGTTGAGGATTTCGATGACGATGGAGATGAAGGCGAAGGTTGAGATGACTCGGCCGGGGTGGATGGGTGAGTGGTAAGGTGCGTAGTAGAGGATGCGGCCGAGGACGTTGTAGTTTGCGAGTTCGAGGAGGGGTCTGGATGGGGAAGAAGTGGGTTAGAGTGGTGTCATGGGGGTTGAAGGTAAGGGGGAGGGGGTGCGTACGGTGCTGCGTAGATCAGACAGGTGCTGACGATGTACTTGATCAGGTCCCCGTAGTCGAAGGCGCCCGCCTCACGGATGATGAAGCCCACGGTGAAGAGCAGGGCGCAAAAGACATAGAGGCCGGTTAGACGCCAGCTCTTGTAGTGTCTAGCTAATGTTAGTGTCTTGCGCGTACTCTGCATATCAAGTAGTGAGTCCATGTCACTTACATGCAGTTGTAAGTGTGTAGAGCCCCTGACATCGCAAAGGCCACGGCGAAGAACACCGGCGCTCCTTTGTTAGGGGCGTAGAAGTAAACGCTACCCTGGACTGGTTTATGTTAGTCTATCATCCAGCACAACTTTAGACGAGATGACCCTTACCATATTCTCCCGTCTCCATCTTGGCGGTGGCGGGGTGGACCGAGGCCCTGATATCGGTTCTTGTCTCGTGGTGGTGATTATGGCTGTTAGTCGGGTAGCCTGGAGAGTGCAGTATTGTTGAGCACACCAAAACAGAAGAGAAAGTCTACCATCTCTGACGAGAATACCATCTTCGAGCACACGTCCATGACTTATAACTTGTCTCCCAGAACCTCGACTCCAATCGTATTTCGCGATCAGTGTCTGTGGGTCTCATCGACCAGCCGCGCCCCAGCCACAGGGCTGACCAATCGCATTTTGCCGTTCGATACGATGCACAGTCAATCGTGGTGGAGACCTTGACGCATCCAATGAACTGGCGTTCGCTGTAACAAAAGGGGAATTGTCGATGTGACTTGATCGCGAGGTGCAATCAAATTATCTGTCGAGCTGTCGTACTGCTCGGGTTGGATGTTGCCCAGCTACCGTTTGCGACGAACTCCATCATCAACCCACGACGAGGTGTCAGGTGAGTTGCCCGGCATGGATTTCGTCCAAACCTCTGGACCCGCATCCACGGGGCATCAACGACCCGGCTGACCATGGCCGCCAAATCTAACATTTGAATGATGCTTTGTGAGCCAAGTTCGTTCCCAGTTTTAGAAACTCTGGAAGAACGTGTCATGGGGCCCGCCGCCCGTCATTTTTTGTCGAGAGTTACCGGAAGGGAGGAGGAGCCACGTGGGAGCCTCAGGAAGCCTAACCCTGGGGGCAAATGCCAGCGCGACCGCCTGCAGAAATGTGGGTCTGTCTCTCACTGGCCTATTCCCATCTCAAACTCAAAATTGGAACTCGACTTTTAAACTGCGTTAGCACGAGACGACATCAACAATCGCCGATATAACACCCGTTATCCTCGGCACAAACCTCAAGCTCAAAATCCTCATACAATGGCGCCTCCGCAGAAATCCGATCAAGAAATCGCGTCCGACTTCACATGGTACTACCTTCAGCGCGCCACGCAAGAGTTCGCTGAGGATCTCGACAAGGTGCGCGCCGCCGACGACTTCAAGAACGATTCCCTCACAATCATCGTGAGCGCGCTGAAGCAGGGGACTGCGCTATTTTCCCCTGAAGAGCAGAGGAGGATCATTACCACTGCGGCTCGCCCAGAAAGCAAGCCCTGAGGCGCGGGTTCGGGTGGTTGTCCAGTTCCGATCTCCGGAGACTCGACAACCTGGGAATCTCAAACTCCATTTCATCTCATACCATACCTTCAAAGCCTAGATGCCCCGCGTCCTGTCTGAGAAACGACGTGCGTCCGTGGCCAAATCCAGGGCAGGTAGTCCGCTTCGCCCTCCTTCGCCGAAAAGGAAGCCAAAGCCACTCCAAGCCTGCCCTATCGACCCGGCAAATATAAGCCCAATTCCGGTTTGCAAGGCTGAGTTCTGTTTTTTCCTCGCTTTCGAAACAACGCGGGAGGGCACGAGAACTTAGAAATTGCAACCCCGATCAAGCGGGTCAAGAATATCGAATCCAGTTCCCACAAGCCCCAAACATGTCTGTTGGAACTCTCCCCTATCAAGCCACGATTTTACACCGCCACAATGCCGCCTCGCCACCCCCTCGCTGCAAGATCCTCTTCACTCAAGGCGGCCGACCACCAACAGCGAACCTCTCATGAGTCACGATTCCATTGCCCCTCTCGTAATCACGTAATCAGACAACTTGGCCGAGTGGTTAAGGCGACAGACTTGAATTTTCAACGTTCACGGTATCTGTTGGGTTCGCCCTCACAAGTTCGAATCTTGTAGTTGTCGATTCTCTTTTGCCCCTTTTTGCCCTTTTTGCCGATGCATTCAGTTCCCCTTCATTACAACTCCTCATTCCGAGACGCTAGTTTTTGGTTGTTTATTTTCTGTTATCGAGCTCAATACTGTGACCAACTCTTATCTTGATCGCAAGTATTATTTTTGTTAGCATCACTGTCAGTGCAAGGGCTCCTGTGATAGATAAGCACCCACCCTCCGATGGATGTATCAGCCGAAAATACTCCCTGATCCAACCACTGCGGCCCTGTTAAATCTCCTCAGTAAATGTAAAGAACATTCACCTACAAAATGCTACTTACCCTATCTTACATCCCTCCTGTTGGTCCTTCAACCTTGAGTAGAGTAAGTAATCGAACTGGTCCAACCATTTATTGGCCCCTTAATCAAAGATTCGTTGACAGGAATTATACGTCACATCAAGCCGTTACAACCCCCTCAGACGGAAACCACGAGCAAGTCCTCTTCAAAGACTAGTCCGGAAGCAACTGGACGATACCTACAACTTTGAGGAGTGAATAGCGAGAAGAGACCCACGCCACGGTCACGGTTACGTATAGAATTCCTGGGCATAACGAGCAGGCCATGCACCTGGCTTTCCCTTGTCCCAGGCCACGCTGTACGCCTCTTGGTGTCAGAACCAAGCGCACCAGCCATGATGACGAACCCCAAGGGTGAGTGAGATAGAAGTGAAGTCCTGCACTCATCGCCTGCAAGCATATTCTATACATCCTCCTCACCACCTAGCTGGCAGTACTTCGCCGTTGAGATGAACAATATGATTCCACATGTGAGCTCGTCCGGATGCCTCAAGAGAGAACAGCATCGGAATGTGTGAAATACGAAATATGATCTGACCCAACAACACTTGTTTTTTGTTTTTCATCCCTTCTACCGACTAGCAAGCATACAATGGGGCTCAAAACCCTCCCGGAACCGTCTCTGCCGAACCACATGGCATCAACCGATTTGGCAAACCAGAACTACCATAACATCTTTAGCTACCCCCCACCGCCACCACCACAACACACAACTCAGTCACTTTCATCTTCATCATCCTCCTCCTCGCTACTCTCCTCCTCATCCGCATTCTCCAACCACTCCACCAACACCCGGCACTTCTGCCTCAGGGCATCCAGCCCCTCATTCTCCGCGGCCCGCTTATCCGCCCACCACGCCAGAATGCCCTCCTCCTCAAGCACGTCCAGGCTATACAGCTGCTGCAGCAGCGCGGCCAGCAGAGCGCCGGACCTACCGGGCTCCAGGCCCTTGACCGCGGTGAGCGCCTTCTGCAGGGCGAGGGCGAACTCGGCCTGCTGGGCGACGCCCTCCCCGCCCACGCCGACCTCCCTGACAAACTTGACGGCGCCGTTCTTGGCGGTGAGGGCCTCGCTGGCGGCCTTGGTGGGCTCGAGGGCGCCGTGCTCCGGGGTGAGCAGCTCGGCGGCGCGGCGGACGAAGGCAACGGCGATGGCGCGGCGCATGGCGCCGTCCGAGGCGTTGTTGGCAAGACGCAGGCCCATGAACTCGAGCTTGGCGCCGTCAAAGTCGTCGCTATCGTCGG